ATACAAAAAAATATCAGCAACACTATTTAACATATTCACAGCAGATTTTCCAACGACTCAATATACTACAACAACTTCATTTGCTGATAAAAATGAGATTCAACTTTCTAAAGATGTATAGAAATCACTACAACAAATCAACAAGAACTAAACAAAATAAATTTACGTGCAGATAAATAGAAAGAATAAATCCTGGCAAATGTTAAGCAAAAATCTTCTCACTGTCTCCAACAATTGCTATCCCCGACCACAAACTGTTTGATGAAACAGTCGACTTGTTAACCAAAACTTAAATAAATGACAATAAACTTAAATAAAAAGTTAAATAAATGACAAAATATCTCAAGCAAACTGAAAATTACATAAATTTTCTCCTTTATGAACAGAGACATTGAACATAAAGTACTTTACTACGCAAAGCAATAAGGCTTCCCGTTATGGGGTATGCATGGCCGATATGATACATCACAATTGTCACAAATATAAAGAAAATTCAATTCTTCCGGAATAAAATTCTTCGAACGCCCCGTAACTCATTAGAAACACACAACTACATTCAGAAATAAGAATTTAACTATCCGTTATACAAAGTTGAATCATTCGCTTGCATTTTTCAGATCATTACAAGATTCGTTCATCAACAGCATCCCGAATAAAAAATAGAATCTAATACAATAATATTTAATTCAATTTGCTGACCCCTCCATGAATCAAAAAAAAACAAAAACAAATAATAAAAGAATGAATTATATACTGAAAAGACTTCAAACAATAATGAGGAACTTCCCTAATTCTATTTGTAAAAGAATGAATATAAAAGTAATAATTTTTGTATGCTTAAAAAATTCTTTATTTATTTACTTATTTATGTATTTCTTTATTTCGTGCATGTGTGATTGAATATTCATCCGAAGTTTAACATCTCCTGTAAGGCGAAAGTGCTGATCTGAGGGATGAATAAAAAGGAAAAATATTTCATTTTGCATGTTCATTCTTTTGCATTTTTCGCAAATGCAGAGAATTCTCCGAAAATGAAACCTGCTCCATGTGTATAAGCGTACTTCGCTGCATTGCAGAAACGAATTACCGCTCATATTTCCCCATACACATTACATCAAACGTTTCACGTACGTTCCCCTCAAGCTCCACGAATATTCGTCGCATATTTCTTTTAATATACCCACATATTCACCACACGTTTCCCGCACTTTCCTCGCATTTCCTCTATATATTCTTCACATATTTCCCACAGTTGTCCGCCACAAGTTCACCGCAAATTATCACACAACTGCTTCATTGAAAATTAAACTGAAATTTCAAATATTTACGACGTTTTTACTTTCAAACATATTACATGCTTACGTAGTAAAGAGATAGTATTGTAATCATACAACGCAAAGTGTCGATTTTTCTTCAGAAATCATATTTTGGTGCCCTGAAATTGAAGTGGAAAAATCTTGTTGCTATATGCAGTAAATTACAACTCTGTGTATTCATAATCTACGTTTCATGGGTCCTTCATGCCGAAAAATTGCTTTACGGCAATATCTGATTGCCCGTCTGTGGTCTACATTAAAGCTTAAACCGTTCACATGACTTTCTCCAAAATAGACATTCCCCGAGCGATCTGCCCACACTCAAGTTCTGCAAAATTGAAACGGATATTTTGAGTTTAGGAATACTTTAAACGAAGCCTAATCACTTTCAAACACCTCAAATTCAATTTTTTTGAATTAATTTTCTTTTCTCGGAAATGAAGTAAACTTACAAAATGTCCTAATTTTCGTTCAACTTTATAAATTTACTAAAATTGCGAAAATTCAAAACTTATTCGGCATGTTCCTATAACAATCTGAAGATGAAGATTGTTTTCTTCTATGAAATCTAGACTCCGAAGCAAGATCTTTAAATATGGTACAAATATGAAAATACGGCGCGAGTTATAAAAATCGCACCGGTTTAATTGTTGATGAACTCACTGGATTTTAAAAAATAGTAAAATTACACATAATAAGGGAGAGTGTATGATGCCGAACCATAACTTTATTTTCCCAAAGCTTATGGTGGAAGATAGGGCAGTGGCTTCTATTGCGGACGAAACTAGAAATTCAGAATAGCTAGAGTTTCCTAAGATCCTAATTTCCAAAAATAGAATATAAAATCTCAAAGATTTCATTTTTCACTACATACCAAACTCTCCAAAGATCACAATCTTTAAATTTTGAAAGTGAAAATAATGTCAAGCAAGAACACTACTTTTTCTGATAACCTATGCAGCGCAATGAGATGGCTCCCCAAAAAGTAATTCTAAAGAAATATCTAAAAGACTTCATATTGTCGATTACCACGTAAGAAATATATCTCAGTATCGATGGAAAAGACAAGGAGATTTGACTCTATTGATGTTACTACAGTGCCTCTAACCGGGAAGTCCTAGGTTTCGAGTACCGTCGTGGCAGGATTTTTGACACTTGCTATGTCGATTTCAGCCTCGTTGTCTGGAGGAGAATTCTAGCGGGCGGCTGCTATGATCGGTTGTTTTCCAAGGTTCTCCAATCAACCCCAGGCGAATTTTGGAGCAGTACCCTAGCAAATGAGCCACGCGCGATCTTTCCTTCCTCTCCCTTGTCATATCCTCACCCCTTGCTTACTGTGGCGTCATATCTGTCGCCAGTACAAACGTACTATATCAGCCACGTGGACAGCGCTGGCGGAAAAGAGACGCTGGGCTGCACAAAGGCTAGGAGCAGGAAGTTCGTGGGAGGCAACGTGGGAGACCCCGGACCCGGCGGAAACGCGTCGGCGACACTGGCGGGTGACGCAGTTCTATCAGCTGCCCAGAAGGTATATAAGCGGATCCGACCTAGCTCGAGCTCTGTTTTCCATCTGATTCTTGGGCGCGTCGGTAAGGCGTCGTGTGGGTTTGTGAAACGGCGCTTGCATTGGTAATGCATAGGCGGACGAGGCGGGGAACCGAAGCCCGGCGTGCTAGTCGTGACGGTAGGTGCGGATACTGCTGAATATTTGTATGCTCGCGTAAGGTACTGGTGGGCAATCAACGCGAACATGTTAAATTAAATTATCGGCCACGCGGTGGTGGTAACAGGAAAGTTCTTTCTTGTAACGGTCATTTATTTGTAAATATTGTCTATGTTTATGGTATGTAGTATTTTATTTCTAATAAATACTAACAATATTTACAAGCCGTTCACGGTCTGTAATTTATTGCCCAGGCAAGACGCCACATTAACAACAATTAACGCACAGCGCTACACTTACACGCACACACTGACATGTCGGGAGACCAGTCAGGGGCTTCAGCTTATCATGCTGGGGCAGTTCCCCGTGATGGGAGATTTCCGGGGGTCGGGGAAAAACTGTAACCCCACCGGAGGTCGACGGCCGATCTCATATTAGCGGGGGAAGATACTACTCTTTCGCGATATACTCAGTACTTTCAGACAACGATCTTGTTTGACTACGCCGGAGTCACTAACAACAATCGATCGAAGGAAACGATGATGGGAGCGTAAAAGTGTGATGTGGATTGCACGTGACCGTGTTTTTTTTTTTTTGAATTTTAAAATTTCGTATTTTACCTTTTTCGGTTTAATCTGATTGATGTACCTGGGACAAAATAATCTATAATAACATGACGACTTACAGCGTATGCCGTGTGGGGCGGTGCCCTCTGTGGGAGAAGTAGTACCCTTCCTTACATTATGGTTTGTTTGGCTTTTCTTTTTCGAAAGCGGCTTATATAATTGTCCAAAGCGTACAGGTAATTAGTTTACAAATTTTAATTAACAGAATATAAGATAGTAAGAGCAAAAGTAGACGTGTCTCACATTGGTTTCGTTAACAAGAGATGAAATAAGTTGTTTCATGCATTAAAAAAACATACAAATCTGCTTCTGGCTTACCGTAACGCAAGCGAATGGAAATTTTCAATAAACGCACCCTTCCTAATCAGTGGTCGTTCATTAAGCTATCGCATAACGCAGCCTGGCTGCAGGAGCGTCCTAATCTCTTGGCGATGAAAGATGTAAGGTCTCGTGAGATGTCAGGAGTACGGGGCGTGGCGGGGCGGGGGCGGGCAGTAACCTTCGCCTCACCAAGTTTCCGCCCCGCGCCCGCAGAATGCGCGCGGCGCGCGGCGCGCGGGCCCGGCCGCCGCTCCGCCCGAGCTCAATGGGCGCCGAGGCGCCGGCGGCGGCGAATGCGGGCAGCGGGCAGGACTTCCTCGAGCGCGGCCTTC